TGTTTACTCAAGGGAAATAATGCCTCCAACATTCTCCCGAGCTGGAGCATGGTAGCAACTCATACCAAAATTCACATATCCATCAGAAATCGGCGTTGCGTCGCGTTCACAGAAAGAGGTTTCGGCCGTTCTCCAAATGAAGTAATCCTATTGATTGTTGATGTGCGATAACTACTTCTCCTCTGTTAAAGTGCGTAACAGAATTCGTGCATCGCTCCAATCGAGCAGCTCTGTCAGTAAATACTACAGTTCTGTGGCCTTAAAGGAATCCTTCACGGAAAAATCATGATTCTATTTCAGCCATAAATCACTGGCTTGAGACTCATCATCCACGATAAGAATGAAAAGAACAGAAAAATTGCATTTGTTTTGGTAAAAATTCGAAAAACCGAAAGGGCTGCTACGCGTTCAAAGTACCGCCGGACATCTGTCACAAATGCTGGCGACGGGGCTTCCACTTGGTTCTTGGAGTGCCTTCACTAGAAACTCTTTCTGGCCTTTTGCTTTATTGCATTCACATCTCACACTTCTACTCCATCCTATTCTATCGATCGATTTGTCTCTACTCTCCGAAATCGCGCGCTTTAACCCGATTCTTTCATTGCGTCGCCTGATACGTAGCCGGCCAAAGGCCAACTTCTTTCCATGCCTCGCCTTTGGCTCCGCCCGAATTACCTTCGATTGTCCATAGAGTGTAGTTTTTGTACGTTTGTTTCTCTTCGGAAACCGAATCTTCATGCGTGAAACTTTGTGTGCTGTTTCCAGTGATCACAACTGACACATTCATGTTGAGAAAGAATGCAAGAATTTTCCGCGAAGGATTCCTTTAAAGTTACTTTTCGGTCAACTTTACACTATGAACGTTGTAACCTCAGTTTGGAACACTTTACATACTCAGCTTTGTTTCGCTGGCAATGAGATAGAAGTGCACCGAAAATGAAGGAAAGGGGAAGAAAACCGCTGAAAATTAGGGCCGTGAATCCGATGGGTACAGCTAGGAGGTGTGGGTGGGAGATAAACGCTGGAAACGAGTGTGTATGGATGTGATCGGGAGCGGACCCAGCTCATGACGTCAATTTCTGAGTAGGGCTCCGGGCTCCAGTTTAATTATATGCATGTGATCGTGGATTTTAATGGTACGTTCCACAGTCCTTCGACAGTGTACAGAGAAATAAAAGGATAAAGGATAAAGCATTTGCCGTTGATCAATCCCTTTTTGGGATGCGGCACGCATTCTACTTCCATTTGTACATTCGTAGTGGCGTTTGAATGCGATGTGGCCTATACAATGACTTGCGGGGGCCAGCCGATGTACAAGTCAGTGTTTTTATCCTCCCAGACAAGTCTGGTACCAATTAACCGACCCCGGAGGGATGGAAGGCTTGGTTGGCCCGGGCGACTCACGACCCAGGATTTGATCCCCGGACCGCTCGCGTGGTAAGCGTGCCACTTGCCACTACACCACTTCCGCCCTGAGAAATGGTGATGGAAAGTCAACATGTATTACAGAACAGGGGAAAAACAGGGTATAAAACCATCTAGAACGCCATAAGTTACGCTTTTCAGTATGCTTTCAATTTTACTGTCGACTGCTTGAATTCATGGCGAAAGACTCGGGCACTTGAAACATACCATACTACAAAGCGAAGCAAAAGCAGAGAGGTAAGCAGGGACGACAGAGTAGGAATAATGTGTCGACCACATTAGCCGCAAGTGATTATGAAATAACCCGACCACATTGGCCAGTATGCCTCTTCCAGGCACCTTTGAGCTACGAACTCAGCGCAACCTCTGGTTTGCGGTCTGTTTAATCTATCCAGAGGGATTGTTCTGGCCAGCAAATCATTGAGAAGGTATTCGGAAGCAGATCACCGCAATACAATCGAAGAAGCTCCGTGCTTCTACAATAATTCCTAAAAATTCTAAGGTATTTTGTCAAATGTATGCTGAGTTTTGAATAGTCAGATTAATGAGTTCTGTGATGAAAGAGTCAAAGAATGCTCGGCTCACCACGTTGTAAACAACAATCTCCCTGTTTGAGCATGGGCCGTGTTGAGCTGCCCGTTCAGACTCTTCAGCGTTAGGAGCCTTACAGTCAGCTAGCTTCCACTCCAGAAATCACTGACAAGCAGGAGGACAACGGATGCATTCGGAAGTGATATAGTGCGAGAAGTGCAGCTTATCACATGAATTAGATCCAGTAATGGTCAAGCTCCAAATTGTTCCGTGGTCTACTAAATGGCAACAAAACTTGTGTGGTAGGCCGATGTCATAGTTTGCGAATCGAGCGATTCGCTAGCGAATCGCTGATCCGAGCGTTGCGCCAGCGAATCGAACGTTGCACCAGCGAATCGAACTTTGCGCCAGCGAGTCGAACGATGTACCAGCGAGTCGAACTAGGTACCAGCGACTCAATAGTGGCGGGACCCAACGTTTAAAGGAAGCCCGCCACTTTCAAACAGCGTCCACTGTCACGTGACACTGTTTGAAAGTGGCGGGCTTCCTTTGAACGTTGGGTCCCGCCACTATTGAGTCGCTGGTACCTAGTTCGACTCGCTGGTACATCGTTCGACTCGCTGGCGCAAAGTTCGATTCGCTGGTGCAACGTTCGATTCGCTGGCGCAACGCTCGGATCTAGATTCGCAAACTATGACATCGGCCGTAGGAAGAAAACACGGGGCCAAGCATCGCTCCGGCTCTGCCTTCATCAATTGTTTTATGAACCTGATGGGCGTTCGAGTCCGTGATTTTGTAGGTAAGTCAAATAGGAGTAATGCTGAGTTACGAATAGAACTTTCGTGTGAGGCGAGAGCGAACCCGCATCTCACGTTTGAAGGAATCCTCCCCGGAAAACTTAGTAATAATTCATCTAGCAGCTGCATTAATGCAGATATCACAAAAAATCCCAGCTGAAGGAAAATACCGCCACCCTACATGTTTCGAAGCCGTTTCTAACCATAAGTTTTAAATTACGAGCTGGGCCGGAATAAGGACCCCATGTATGTTGTGACAAGCAGCATTATATTTGCAATTTTTTTCAAAATTATTCATTAATTTATGCATTTATAGTCAATCTTTAATCTTATTTATAGTCATTTCTCCAACAACTTGGTCATAGTATAAACATTTTCAACAAGTCCCTTTGCTCGGTCGATGAGAGGCTCGATATCTTCCTTGTTTTTCATGGCGACCACCTAAAAGAAATTAATGAAATGTACAGGCAGATATCTGAAACGTGGTGTATGCAGTGATACCTTGAAGAGTAGAGTGACCATGGCTACCGGCACGTACATATCGTACGCCTTCCTGACATTCTCCAGCGCTACTGGGCAGTCTTCCGGTGAGCTCGACACGAGACAGGCGTGATACTCCTCAAGGAGCGCACTTGTCCATTCAAGGCGGTCCTGAAAAGTTCACAAACTTCAATAGCACTCATGTGATCTTCACTTCACTTACACCTCAGCCCGTGTTCGCTGGGGTGTGTGTGAGCAGTATCAGATTGGTAGGATATAACTGGTCGATGCTTTCGCTTTCCCACAGCTCAGTTACGTTCAAAACATGAGCCAAATATTTGACGATGAGGATGTGCTTCCGTATGTAAGAGGACTCTTAAGAGTACTAGCCGAGTCTTTTGCTGCTCAGACATTCTATATTATATTTGACAGTTATCCCGACCAAAATATAAATATAATATTTCCACTGGGTTGCACCAGAACTCGGTAACCCTTTTCCGAAAACACAGTCTCACAGCACTGATAAATATTTAGGTTGCTCCAGACATAGAGCAACCTCGAATGGGCCCTCAAAGGCCGACAATGGTACAAAAAGCCATCAAGTAGACTGCTTGCCAAACAACACGCGAGCTCGCGGAGATCTTGAGATATGATCATCGAACGCTTGCATGTAGTTGACGTGACGAACTTAACTTCAAACCATCAACCGCCTTGAGTGGGCGGCAGAATGTTATCACCTTATTAGTTTGCAACGTTGATAAAACAGGTAGTCAACACTCCCTTTAGCATGCTACGGAAAGTTGCTTCAAATACCGTAAACTGTGGCTGATAACTGATCTCCAATAACAATCCATGGGAGGTTTCTCAGATCCAGTGGCTATGCTGGAGCACGACATTGTTGGGAGGTCATCCAAGAATGCTGAGTTGTGGGGCTCGGCCGGGGCGAAAGTTTGAGCACAACTCAGCATTCTTGTGTTAATTTTCGCAACGCGAACTCCGGCGTAAAGCAGCAGTTATCCAATATGAAGAGAATTAAAAATGGTGGGAAGATGACGAACACTCCCCGTAAAGGGTGAAAGACCTCGTGCGTAAGACGAATCTGGCTTGAGCTTCAACCACGAAACCCCAACCCCCCAAGTAACAATGTATTCATACCACGTTCGGCCAGCGTTTTTTGATACTTCTTGAAAGAGTATAGCTAGTCTTAGATTTTCTTGGGATCAACTCACACGTCGCAAAAAAAACCTAGTTCTAAAATAAGAGGATTTCTGCACAATACCGGGACTATCTATCTGGCAAGCTTGGGTCCCGCGGGATCATCGAAAAATATCGCTCCTGCGTGCACGGAAAAATTCAACGCATCATATGTTTGAGGTTAGGTCATTGCAAAATTATATATCATGTCAATAGCCATGACCTGTTGAGCAGTCGAACGTGACATTCGCGAAAAAGACTGTTGTTGCAGAAATTAAGTACGATGGTGAACTTGCGCTGGGCAGATTAAGCACCTGACATCGTCTTGTTGAGCATTGCCGATTCTCTGGACACTTTCCGTTTGGCGGTATTGAGCAGTAATGTGGCCGTCAGCATGTTCGCTAAAGGTCCAATTTTTGTACAGCATCATTCGACGTTTGATTTCTTCCACCACTCTTCATGCTCCGGATAGACACACTGGAAAATGTTCGAGCATATTTTCTGTCGGTTCTTTATTCTCTTTGGTCTCGCAGCCCTCATTTCAACGCTGTACATCAAAAGTGCCACGCTACGCAACTGTTGATGCAGCTCAATATGAGTTTGAATAGTTGAATAGTTTCTAAATGTTTTATCTTGTGACTGATGGACCGAATTTGGCACTGTTGGAGTTGAGTGTATTATCGCGACATCAGTGGAGTGTCATCTGAGGATTTCCAAATGTCTGCTCCCTATGGATGTCCTGCTGCACTGCTCTTTTGAAGCTAACAGCAAACAGAAGACATTAAGATCGATTTTTTCTACCGCATAGTAATATCCACTCACTTTTGTACTGAGATTCCAACAGATTGCTTTGGCGATATCTTCACCAAAACTTCCGGAGTGGCTTTCTGGAAAAGTCGCGAATGGTATAATGAACAATATGTAAGTCGTATAGTTAATATTAGTATATACTGCGTCAACTATATAAATATGTGGACTAATCTGGAACCAAATTAGAATTTTTCGCTTTCGGCACCGTCTATTTCGGTGCATCTCCTGGCTGCAGTGGGCAGGATTTCGCTTAGCTGATATGTGCTGTGTCTTCTGCGCTCACACATCTCAAACTTGAATGCGGCTCTCTGAGTGGTTCTACGAGTAATACCGAATTTCGTGATAAGACGACCAGACGGACAACTAGACAATCAGGCAGACAAAGAGTCTGACCAAGCGCTTTATGGTAACCAGGATTATATCCTTCGATGTGTTCTAACCACTGGACATTGCAGAAGTGAATTGATCTCTTCAGGTTCTGAGGTAATCACTACAGAAAAGGCGCAGAAAAAGGCAGAAAAAAGTCGCGTGCGCGTTTGAACGAGTTCTCGAACTTCTAGTTCCATGCGCTGTATTTTGTGCTTTTCCCTCAGGGAACGAGTCTCTTCCACCAATAATATCACCAACCTAGGGGACGGGAGACATAGTTACGTCGTGAGAACCACTGGGCGCTGCAGGTACTCTTTAATACTGACGTTCTCTACTTTCTGAGCTGCTGTAACTCTGTGAAGGTGGAAATTCAGAGGCCCTGGTGCAACCCTGCCTCCCTCAGGATTGAATTGGCATCGGAGGAGGAAGCTACGCGTCCCTGTGCGAGGAATTACACAAGACTCCATTTTCCAGAATAAGTTCCAAAAACCAGACTGGAAAAATGAGTGAATGCGAGCGGAACAGTGTTCCAGTAGGCGGTGCTTGACACAAAATTGTTCGATTGGTAAGAGCTCGGTTCTATGACAGCTTGGAGAGCAGAAGAGTGGTCGGGACGAGCAGAAATAATTCTGAAAAGGCTGTATATCATGCTAGTCGCGCCTTGACACCAGCACAGAAGAAGTACAGCCAGATCGAGAAGGAGGCCCTCGCCATCGTTTTTGCAGTTCAAAAATTCCATCGATTCATACATGGTCGTCACTTTACGCTGAGGACGGACCACAAGCCGCTCATTTCTATCTTCGGGAGTCGAAAAGGAGTTCCAATCTACACCGCCAACCGTCTGCAAAGGTGGGCAACTACGCTGCTGAACTACAACTTCAGCATTCAGTACATCAAGACGAGCGAGTTTGGACAAGCCGACGCCCTTTCGCGACTGATTGGATCCCACTTCGCAGGAGCCAGAAGACCGAGTCATTGCTTCTATTGACTCTGATGTCTCAGCCGAAGTGATGGACAGCTGCAGCCGACTACCGGTCTCATTCAAATCTATCCAGGCTGCAACTACAGTCTAACTGTCTCGTTATCCCGAAGTCCCTTCAAGTCGCGTACTACAATCACTTCACAAAGCTCATCCAGGCCAAACGAGGATGAAGATGCTGGCTCGCAGCTATGTATACTGGCCGTCGATGGATGCAGATATAGACAGTCTTGTCAGGAACTGTACTATCTGTGCACAACTCGCCAAGAATCCTGTGAAGACCGAGCTTCAGTCCTGGCCGAAGCCAGACACTCCATGGACTCGAGTGCATGCTGATTTCGCAGGACCCTCGACGGAAATTCTACCTCGTCATCGTGGATGCGTTCTCGAAATGGCCTGAGATCATCCAGATGAAATCGATCACCTCGTCGGCAACAGTCAAGGTTTTGACAAAAGTCTTCGCACAATTCGGGAATCCACAGACGCTCATAACGGACAATGGCACGCAGTTCACTTCGACAACGTTCGTGGATTTCTGCCGCCGTCGTGGAATCAAACACGTCCGCTCTCCTCCTTTTCATCCACAAAGCAACGGTCAAGCAGAGCGCTTCGTGGATACGTTCAAGAGAGGTTTGGCCAAATTGAAGAGGGAGGAACCAACGACGGAAGCACTTCAGGCTTTTCTAATGGCCTACCGGTCGACGCCCTTGCCCATCCGGACCAAGTCATCTGTCGCCTGCTGAAAACTTTCTGGGCCGTCGACTTCGTACTGAACTGGACCTGATGATGCCACCCTCCGAGGACAACAGTAGACGTCGCGACACCAAGAATGGAGGACCAGTTCAACAGACACCACGGAGCCAAACGTCGCCACTTCGACGTGAGCGATGCAGTATACGCCAGGGACTATCGCGGACCAAAAACTACATGGACACCTGGCACCGTCGTTCGACGCCTCGGACACGTCATGTATCTCGTACGATGCGGAAACTCACTCTGGACACGACACGCCAACCAGCTGAAACCGCGCGACTCCAGTCCAGTAGCCAGCCACTGGACGAGTTCGACCTCCTTCTGCTGCGACGTCGGCTCCCCGCACGCCGACGACGCAGGACCACGAAGCTGCACCACGTTCGACTCCGCCGTCGACGCCACGACTTCGACGTTCACTAAGGACTCGTCATTCACCGCGCCGACTCATGGTGGATCCGAAGAAGAAATCCTATTCTTCTAGAAAAGGGGAGGTGTTGTAGGTATACATATTCTAATGTGTAGGTCACCGTATTCAATAATAGACCCCTTTAAGGCCACGGTAAAACTATTTGTGCGGGGTAGAGCAAGCCGCACGTGCCCCGCGCCTCCGCGCCAACAAAATCGCCCTGGTCTCACGCTGTCAAAAAGGCCAAAACATGTATTATCGGTCAAGCCGTTGAACCACTCCCTTCAAGGTTGCTTATTTGCTCAACAGTTTCACGTAGCCGTCGCCTTACATCAGTTTAAAACGAAGAAACGAACCTGTCCAGTCAATCACAGCGGCAATCTTGTTGCTATCGTTGACGACGAAGATGTTGGAGGCGTACGGCTCACCGTGCACGAACACCCGTGGAGGTGCCTTATCTGCAGCGTCCATATACGTGTCGTGTAGGTACTCTGCTGTGAAATACTTGCCCGTTTCCTGGAAACAAGTCTTTCAATTTGCCTCGGAATTTCTGTGACATTGCAAGAAAATTTGACACGATTCTTTCATTTTAGCCAACTCCCGAAAAAATTTCATAGATTCTGTCATCATGAATTCAACCTCCGTTCCGGCAATGTTCCGTGTATTCGGCCTTGACATTATTTTTCATCCTAAGGAAAGTTCAATTCATCCTGTATTATCCCCGAACATCTATCAAAGATGGGCCCCTTGAGGGGACCACACGGCAGGATGTTTGTTGGAATTTTAGAACTCACTACTATCTCCAATAATCAGGTCTCCCAAAACTAAATACTTTGGATGCGGGCAGAGAGGGGAAGTTTAACAATGGATAGCCGGGTTGACAGCTTGTTTTTGTTCAAAACATGGGGAAAGCACTGAGCTAGCACCTTTTTGGGTGCTAACTTAGTTGGGGGGACCACGCGGCGGCGCGGCAGTCTGCTCGCCTGGCATGTTCGGAAATCCGTGAGCCAGGGGGAGTGTAGGCAGTCTAGGGGGTGGGGGGTGGGGCAGTCACTTGACATGCGTGAAAAGCTGGAATGTTCGAGTTTACACTGTCTCGCTCGAGAGAGCCCAGGTGAGCAGACTGCCGCGCCGCCGCGTGGTCCCCCCCCCAACTAAGTTAGCACCCTTTTTGTAACTGAGGGTAACGATCACGGAAGTTCCGTAACGTTCGAAAAATCGGCTCAAGACTATCTTATCATCGCAGTATCTAAAACATTGTCGAAGAGGAAGCGTGTAACTCACAACAAAACGTGAGTGATCGACATCGTGACGTTCGAAGAAGTTCACTACATCGTTGTAGTTGGAAACCAGTGATGAATAGTATGAAGGAGGGAGGTCGGCGACCTGAACACCGTCAGATTTCGGGCTGAATATAGTTTTTACAGCTACTTCGTACCGTTGTGTTCCATCCTGTATGCTTCATCGAAATCGTGTGCAACACCGGCTAGTTGTTGAAGGAGATCTCGAACCACGTCGACCTATAGAAATACATCTTTAACTGATTGTAAGTACAGTTGGGCGAAAAAAGATAACATGGTGGCATCCTGTTTTTCATTTCGAAAACTTCGGTGCATTCACGGAGGCTCGGAGGGAAGGAATGCATGTGCGGCCTGGACGAAAATGTAGCCGAGATTCGATCTCGGGCCATGCGTTAGAATATGTCCAGTGCCACTACACCTCCTGCGCT